AGCCGGGGCAACGCAGAGGCCCTGGTCGCGCTGTTGGTGCTCGCCACCCTGTACTTCGTGGAGGGGGGCAGCGTAGGGAAGGCCGCGGTCTGCTACGGCCTGGCTGTGCACATGAAAATATACCCGCTCACCTACGCGCTGCCCGTGGCGCTCCACCTGCAGAGCAAGCGGCGCGGCGGAGAGGGGGCAGGGGGTACGGGGTGTGACACAGAGGCAAAGCGTACCTTCGTAGTGTACCTCTGGCGGCTGTTTGTAAAGATGCCGAACCGGGATGTGCTACTTTTTGGAACGGTTGCTGGATCTGTGCTGGCTGCCTTGACTGTTGCATTTTATCACCTCTATGGCTGGGAATTTTTGGAGCATGCCTACCTCTACCACCTGACCAGGAGGGACATCCGTCATAACTTCTCTCCCTATTTCTACGTGTTGTACTTAACAGCAGAGAGCAAATGGAGTTTTGCCCTTGGGCTCGCAGCTTTCCTACCCCAGCTGCTATTGCTCCTAGTTGTGTCCATAGCGTTTTACAGAGACCTTGCCTTCAGTTGTTTCCTCCATACTGCTATTTTTGTGAGTTTTAACAAAGTATGCACATCCCAGTACTTTGTCTGGTATCTTTGCCTTTTGCCCCTCGTAATGCCTAGTGTTAAGATGTCCTGGCGTCGTGGCGTGCTGCTTCTCTTCCTGTGGTTTGTTGGACAAGGCCTGTGGCTCACTCCTGCATACTTTCTGGAGTTCAAAGGACATAACACTTTCTTACTTATATGGTTGTCAGGCTTGCTTTTCCTTTTTATTAATAGCTTCATAATTGTTCAGATTATTTTGCATTATCAAAAAGAAGCACATGTTGCAAGGAAACTCAAACAACAGTAATAAACAGGCCAGAATCCAGAAACAGCCCTACTGTCCTTGATAAGGCTTTTCATACAACAAGCACTTTAATGTAAATGTGTCTACATTGTACTAAAGCCTGTTGTATGTAGAGGATACTGTTTCAGAGCCACGAGGGGACTAATTGGCCTTAATTGCCCCGTGCAGCCCAGGTCATGCCCTGAGTGGTGTCTGCAGGTGTGCCTGTTTCCCATGCAGACCTTGCAGCTGCATTGTAACCTTCTCTCCAGCACTGTCTCCAGACATGTCTTCTGCTGCTTCTGACTAGACTGCCTGGAAGAAGCCTGGACCAGTTCATCACTTGCCATGTCTGGGGCTGTGGGTGGACTTTTTTACCAGCACCTGTCTCTGCCTGCCACCTCCAGACACAGTGTGAGTGCACCCTGGTCGGTGGGAAGGGTATGGCCTGTGCTGGTGGCACCCTCAGCTCCTGCCCATACCCCCTCAAAGGGCAGCCTCAGTCTTCTTACTCCCTGACACCATTTTCCTCATTGGTCCCTTACTTGTTGATGACTGTCACCTCTGTCTGGGAAAACACAGAAGACTATGAAGTGATGTTTGAGTTTGACAGTCTTGTACATTCCAGTAGGTGGGTGGCATGTTCTGCAGCCCTTGAGCTAGCTGGTGACAATAAGTCACTTAATATGTACACTAGGTTCCCTTCCCTTCTCTTATCTTTTTTAGCTATACAGTCTTTGTGCAAAGTGGTTATTTCATGCAAGTAATTTATTCCTAGAAACTTTTAATTAATTTTAAAATTCAGGTATGCCTGCACACTCAGGTACTTACTTTTGCCTTTTCAGTGCTATTTGAATTTTTGAGCAAATATTTTCCCCTTGCCATAGAGGAATATTTTTCCAGATAACTGTCTTAGATCACAGAGATACATTAAGCAAAAATATGTGTTCCCTACTGCTTTGATCTAGCAAATAAATAGGCCACTGCTTTAAAGTGCAGTTATTTGTGGATGTTAACAGTAGCAAATGCAGTGTCGAAGGACAGCTAGAATGGCATCTGTGTCCCAAAACAGTAGAGTTTATACCAAAAAGTAGTTGGAAATGTAGTTTTAAGTAGTTCTATATCTCTACTATTAAATGAAAAAGAAAGTGGAAAAGAGTTGAGGAAGCAGAGCAGTTGCCAGAAGAAGGGGAAAGTTTTAATATAGAAAGCTCTGCAACCTGTCAAAATGAGGTATTTATTCCCAGATGAGACACGAGAAGATGTGGAATTAACTGTCAGATGGTAGTGAGAGGAGTTCAGAGCCATACTCCCAAGAATAGCCTAGGAGAGGTCTGGTGTACTCAGCCTTTGGCAGAGGTGCAAACTAGTGATGTATTTTTAAATAAAATCTTTGAGTTTAAATAAGATATGCCCAATTTAAGAATGTTCATGTTTACCTCAACTTTTAGCAGCGTCCTACGGGAAAGTGAAACCTTTAGTGTGTAACATGGAGCAGAGCTTCAAGGCAGAATAATGTCAGGCACGGGAGGGATTCCAGTCGTCAGTGGAAAGGATGTGGCCAAGCAGCTTTGCCTTCCAGGTTCCCATCTGGCACACAGTGCCTCTGAATCCTGCTGTCCCGAGGCAGTGCTTCCCCCAGGACTGCCGTGGCTCCTGGCCTCCTTACGAACAGTTTCATTTTCTGGTTGTAGTTCTGTCTCATGAGGCTGAATTGCAGTATTTTGAGCCGTGAATTCTTTCCATTGCTTCTCAGCCCCATTGAGGTGGTTACGTGAAAGGAGAGGAAGCTTCTGAGCCCCAGTGGCCCAGAGCCAAAGGATGTGTTATCAGGAGGTGTAATGATGTCCTTCCACCGCTCTGGCCCAGCTCAGCCTTTCTGGTCTTGTGCTGGGAGGAAGGACAATTTCCCGACTCGGAGTGATGAGGGGTGGTTTTGCTCCCCTGCTGGAGGGCATTCTGGTTTCTGCCACCAGTGTGCACCCCCACTCACCTTCACATTTTGAAGATCCTGCCAGCCTCTTCGTAAATGCAGAAATTGGATGAGGTGAACAGATGCTCTTTTGCAAACTGGCTTGTTTATTCAGGCAGGTCTTATAGATGTAAGATGCACCGATTTCCTTCCCAAGGCTTGGGCTGGGATGAAGGCAGAAAGACTTCAGCACCAGCTTGTTTCCAGCTTCCACAAGAGATACATTAGTCAAAAGACTGATGGCACAAGCCGCTTTCACTCACATTTTAATTTTATGTTGGTCACCGAAACACTTTGTGTGCCACCAGTGTGTGAAGAGGAAGTGCCCTGTGTGCGTTTATTTTCCAGGGTAGAGTTTGACATGCCCAGTGAGTGTTTCACCAGAATGCTCTGCTGTGCCAATACCTCTGTTCACCCCACCCCAGCATGGAGGCAATAACTTGTTTTCCCTGGAAGGGAAAACAGATCTTCTGTTACCTGTTATGCATTTTTCTGTTGCAAATAGCATGTTTTCTGCCCCCGAAACAATGTTCTGTATCTCTCTAAAATTATGTCATTTCCAGACCCTTCCACTCCCCTATTATTTCCCTCCTGTAAAGAAAGTAAATTAAAGCCAAGAAGCATTTACAGCTTCAAAAACCTTTCCAAAAAGTGGCATTCTGACTTACTCTGTTCATGAAAATAGTAATGTTGTTTTTTAGGTAAGAAGTAATTTCCTTTTGACAAATACATTCTCCATTCAATAGCAGCTAAATCATTTTGAGGCCTTCAAGAAAGCACATTCTGTGGCAGCAGGCACTGAAGAGTACCTTACCTTTGCAGGTCAATACCAGCCCTTCAGCAATTATCTGAGAAAGTCATGCATAAATAAGTCATAAAAAGGCTTTTATACAAAGTTGGATTTATAGTCATCAATTTAATAATCCAGTATGAGTCCCTCCATTTACAGTTGCTGTTTTTTAAGTAAGCTAGTCACCTAAATGTGTTTGGGATTTAGAAATAGTTCAGTGACTCATAAAAAAGCTGGCTGGGAGAAATGAACTGAAAGAGATGAACAAGAGAGAGATTTGAGAGTTTAGATCTTGCAAATCACTTTAGATGGTTAAATGGAATTGAATAACTTTATTCACAGATAAAAAGCATCGAATCAAAATGTAGCTGAGCACAGAACGAGTTCTAATTCATGAACAAGTCATGGTGATTAATTATAATGCCCTTAAAATTTACCAAATTAATTTCCTATGGAACATTTATTGCTTTTGATGGTGTTCAAATTCTCTTGCTTAATAATTTTATCTCCATTTATGTTCTGGTAATTAGTAACTGAAGTGTCTGAATGTGAGCCTTCATTCCCTACCACAAGTTGCAAAACTGTAAAGCTTTCTACTTGATTAAAAAAAAAAGTTGAAGTACCCCATAAAATATTCTCATTTGCACAAATTTCTCACATCGCTCTGAAACCAGCCCTGAACTGCAAAGTGCAAGATGTGAGAGACAAACTGGAAAGAATAAAAGATGCATTAAGACAAATAACACTTCTGCCTTGCTTTTTACACCATAGCCTGTAGGCCAAAGGCTTATGGCTGGATTCACAAGTAACTTATTCAAAGCTTCACCATTTACCAACAATTTACTGTAGAGTTTATAAACAGAATTACTCAAATAACAAGGTAAACAGAAATATATAATACACATTTCATGGAGGTTTTTTGTGAGTATACTAAATTTCCACCTCTGACACAATAACCATGTACTTGGGCCTTATTAGGTAGCTGCCCTGTCTGTTACTAGCACTGTATTGACTCCTGTAATAGTGAAGGCAGTGATTATGTGCTCTAAACAAAGCTCATCAGTTTTCTTTTTTAAGAAATCTTGAAGCTTTTATATTTAACAGCAAGGGGAAACTCCAATGTTCCTTCTAAGGTTTTATAGAGAAAGCAAATGTTAAAAGACAGTCAATTATGAGCAAATTGTTGCCTTTTTTCAGTTGAGAAGAATGAGGCATCCGTTTTAAAAGAGCTGCAGAAATACATAGTATATTCTTTAAGTGTTTCCCAAAGGCAGCTGCAGGATGCATATCCTAGTAATAGCAGCATTATGGAATAGGATTATTCTGAATTTAGGACAAACCCTTTCTCTACTCAGACTGAAACCCAACCACTCACACAGCTTGCTTTCTTAAGGACATATTTATGTGCATCATATACACAAACCTAACCATTTACCTGCTTATACAAAAGCAAAAAGTCCCAGTCAAGACACCTCTGAGTAACATGTTTATTTCAGAGCTGCCCTCTGTAAATCCAATTTCTTAGACGTTTCTTACATTCAGTACTCAGAATCTGTAGTGACTCTAAAACTTTAATCACATAAATTTTTATGCATATGGAAAGTAAAAAGCTTGTGCAGCAGGGATCTTGAGTTGTAGTGGACATGTTCAGGAACCAAACAATTCTGACTAAATTTGAAGATGCACATTCCACAAGTATCCCAATGACTTTCCTTGGAAGAATCCGCACCGGTCACTTTACTTGTGTGGGAGCCTTGCTTCAGTCTTTACGCATGATGAATGAGGTCAGAGACCTACATTTTGTATTAATAAAAGTATCAGAAAGTTTAAAATTTCTCTTGATGCAGTACCATTGGGTTTTTATTTATTTAAGGAACTGAATAATCCATGCATTTATTTTAATATCTTTTAAGTCTTTTTCACTGGACACTGGCCAGTATATACAAAGACCAAAATCTGTAATTTTTTTTAACAAGGTAAGTCGATAGTATGTTGTTGCAGCAGAATTCCTCATGACTTTCCTTGTCTGAGGCAGGCATAGGCTTCTGCAGAAACAAGTTTACTTATTAGAGGCAACCTTACTTAATGCATAGATAAAGCTTTAGCTTCAGTCTCTTCTTATGCTTAGAGCTTAACTTTGAGCCTTTAACATTATCTTCAGATAAAACATTTCATGCAGGTAAAGGACACATAAGAGATCCTCAGTACTTCCTTTAGAAATTGGTGGGGAAGCAAGGTAGGACATCTGTGGAAGAAATATCT